GTAGCAAAATAAAATAAACTGTAATTGGACCTCATAACAACAATCTGAACATTCAATTCATAAGATGCAATTAAATACATATTACATTAATGTAAAACATGCATAAACTTACTGAAAAATCCAGAATGAATATCAAAGGCTCCCTCTCTACTGGATCTTTCCCATCAAAGTGAATGTTGATGAAGCCAAGGTTTGCTTCACCACCATCATTGCAACAGTAAACAATCTTTATTCCTCTCAACAACAGCTTTGACACAGCCTCCCAAAAGAGAATATACAGTGTTGCACTGTCTACCTCTTTTGTTGGCCAGTGTGCAAAGGGAAAACGAAAACCTGTCATACCGAGAAATACAAACTGACAAACATGTGTTGCCAATTCTGCTTTTTCTGCTCCTAAAAAATTACATTAATTTCAGATGTGTAAATAATCATGTTATGGAATCAAATTTCAACAGCAATTATGTCAATTATAATTATACATTTAGGTGGTAAATTCCTCATGTTCAATGTACCTGTGAAAAGAGCTTTCATTGAGTTATGCTCTTTTCCTAAATCCACAAGTCCTACTAATCTTTTCGCCCCATTTTCACTTTTTATCTATAGATCTTCCTATGTACATATAAAGAATTTTCAATATTTTTAGATATAAGTAGTAATATTATAATATGATAACAGTAACTTTCATTCATATTCTGAATGCAGTATATCCTCTAACCTGAATAGACATTTCATCCAATATCAAACCACCTTCTCTACCAAACTCATCAAGATTACTCTTATCAGCCTCTTTGACAAGCCAATCCAACACATCATCATTCAGTCCKGCACTCTGTCTCACTGAGTTCTTGTATAATGACAACAACCTTCCTGATGGCAATTTGAACATACCACTTTCTTGTAATTGCTGATATGCATCAGGACTCCTGGTCCACACAGAAAGACAAAGGCTTATAATCCTGTAAAAAAACATATATTGCGATAGTGTAATTTCTACTACTGGTGTCTTGCATGTAACATGTTAATCGAAGACATCACTGCATTTTCCAAATTCATTGATTTTTTGAAATGTTTCTTTTCTATTTATTCACCAAAATTATTTTACTATCAATATACATATAAGTAACCCAATGTACATTGTATACAGCTGCCCTACCTCAAAATGCTCCTACTCTTAAAACATATTGTGCATAAGTCAAGTTTCACATATTGCCTCACTTACTTAGAATGCCATCTATTTCCTCTTGCATCAGGTTTTTCTAGAACCTTCTTTCAGTGCTTCCCAGAACATTCTCATTTCTTCTGGAATGTTATTCCCTTCCAATCCTGCAAACATCGCCTTGTGATCCTTTTCAGTAAACTGATCCATTTGATCGTTGATATCTTTCTTCATTTTGGTCACTCGTTCTGCTCTTTTCTCTGCATTCTTTGCAGGTGTCTACTCTGCCTGAATTCTGCTTGTTAACTCCTCTGTGCTCATATACGAAAGTCTCTTATTCTTTACTTGCTTTTCGTCTGATTTACATTGCACATTGTTTAATCTCCGGTGACAATGGCTACGAATATTCTCACAATTTCGACACTTCAACTCACGCTCGTTACATATCAATAAACAGTCAACAGCCCGATGTCTAAGAGAATGAATCTTAACTCCATTTTTATCGTTGATCTGCCACTGTTCGCTCACTCCAATGACAGCTCCCTCTTTGTTCTTGACTGGACCTTGAATGTTAACCTCAAAGCCTTTGCACTCCGAAACTACCGCACAAAATTCAAACACATTG